TTCTGTCACCATTCCCAGACGCCCCTGGAGACTACTTGGTTGAAGGGAGCCATCAGCCAGAGCAGAGAGGGGCAGGGCGGAGCTCGAACCCAGGGCCGGATAATCAGGAGGCCGTGTTCCAGCATGCCAAGCCAGGGGCTGCCGCCTTGGGCAGGTCCTGACCCCTCCCCTCGGCCTTCCGGAGGAGAAACTGGCCGTGAACCATACAGAACACACGGCTGGCCTCTGCTGCTGGGAATGGAGGTGGGACGGGCTGAGGGGACGGCTTACCCTCGCTGCCTAGCCCTCCTTCCTGAGACTCCGGTTCAATCGCCCCGGCCCCATGTGCTGGGTGACTTGAGCAAGCCTCGGGCACCTCGACTTCAAGGAGGGCGGTGCCCATCCTGCTACCCTCACACAGGCCACCGTCCCCAGCCCCCAGATTAAAGCTGAACATCCCAGAAAAGCCCAGGTCTGCTGCCCAGCAGCCCGTACCCTGGGCCCTGTGTGACCTTCAAGCCCTGGCCTCTCCTCTTGGGCAAACAGGAGGGACAGCTCAGCCCTCAGCAAAGGCCTGCCCCGGTTCTGTCAGAATCAGCCTGGGTCACTGAGCTGCTGAGAGAAACAATCCACCACCGCCACCCACCTGGTTCCCAGTCACCATGGAGACCAGGGTGACCACCCAGCCCGGCCCCCAACCTATGATGGGAACTGGGTCCTCATCCCACTGAATTCTGCCACAAGCAATCCCCAGCTGACAAGGAGTGCCCACACCCGGCCTGCCAGGACGACAGAAACAGCAACAGCCTCGGAGACTTTACCCCCATCCGTCTCTGACATGGATCTCCTCTTTCCACCTAGGCATGGTTGGGAAAATCACCCAAGGTCACTCTGCCAGTAACACAGAACTCAGGGCTAGTGTTCACTGCTGTGTGATCCTGGGAAAGTATCTTTCCCTCTCTGGGCCCGGCATTCAAACACCACCTTCACAGCTTCTGCCTACCACAAACTACCTGTATACTTTTTTTTTTTTTTTGAGACAGAGTCTTGCGTTTGTTGCCCAGGCTAGAGTGAGTGCCGTGGCGTCAGCCTAGCTCACAGCAACCTCAAACTGCTGGGCTCAAGCGATCCTGCCGCTCTCAGCCTCCGAGTAGCTGGACTAGGCATGCGCCAATGCCCAGCCTGATTTTCTATAATATATTGCTTGCCAATTAATTTCTTTCTATTATAGTCAGAGACGGGTCTCGTCCCTTGCCTTCAGGCTGGTTTGAACCCTCCAGCACCGCGACTCCGCTCCAACATCGCCAGAGTGTCTGATTGAAGGCATGAGCCACCTCGCCCCACTGTACTACTTTACCATATTTTCATTAGCTTGAGAGCTATTAAACTGTCAATTTTATTTTGAAATATGTAACATATACACGGAGGTATAACAAATAGCATATTATAACGATATTGTCTCCGTCTTTTCACCTGAATACTCATTTTTCTCCAGGGCAACCAAGAGTGGTTTTTTGCTAATGTGTCTTCCAGAGACTCTATCAGAATACACACATATTTTAGATCAACATGTCCTTGTATCTGTGTGTATTCTTCCTATACAAATGACACACCATTCTGCAAAGTTTCTTTCTTTCGAGACCAGAGTCTCACTTTGTTGCCCAGGCTAGAGTGATGGCCGTGCCCAGCCTAGCTCACAGCAACCTCGAAAATCTCCTGGGCCAAGCGATCCTCACAGCCTCGACCCCCCGGTAACTGGACACAGGCATCGCACATGCCCGGCTTCACTTGTTCTATATATTTATTGGCCATTAATCAAGTCCACTGATGCACTTTACAGTATCAAACAATAAGGCTAATTTTAAAAGGAAACTTTTAAATCCCTAATAAGTGGGAAACCTGCATTATCTATCACAATAGAAGCTCACTATAAAATTAAGTGCAACAAATATGTAACATGTGAAAAAAAAATACATTAGAGACATGACCAGGCTTGTCTCCTTGGTTCTGGAGCTCTCATTTACTTAAA